AGCCAATGCCAATAGACAATGCAACTACTGCAGTTGATGTACTTTTCAGGGATGCTGGAAATTCTTGGTAATAAAATGAAATATGACCCGGAAAATGAAAGGCTTCTCCAATACCAGCAAGAGCTAGTGATGGCACAAGCCAAAAGACTGACATTGGTACCACAGCATTATCGTGGCCTTCAATGTTATGAAGCTGCACTGTCTTCAGCCTCTTTGCCTCCACCAGGGCTAAAACAGCCATGCTAAGAACGTCGAGCAAATGCCCAATTCCAACCCGCTGCAGGGTGGTGATTGGCCGGTGAGTGAACTTCTCCCATACCGGAAATAGGAGTCGATCTAGGAAAAATATGGTGATGCATGTGGATATGGATATGAAGACTGGCATGGTACCTGCTGGAATTTTAAAATGAGCTCCAATATGACGGTCCATTGTTAGAGCCTGGATGATTACCATACTCAATTGGATGACAAGAGGGACGGCGACGAGCAAAGCACTTGACCAGAGTGGTAGCATTTTGATTAGGCTTTTGAAATCTTCTACTTCTTTCACAGTGCATAGTCGCCAGGATTTCCTAATGGAACCAGCCAGCTCGGCGTCTCCTTCAGTTTTCAACGCTGCACGGTTTAAGAATCTGCAGATATTTTTTTTTTTGGTGTTACACATTGATTAGATATCCAATCGGTTTGGCACTGGAATAAGTTTGAATCCTCAATTGCTTACAACAATTAATGGTGAACGTTGCAAAACAAGTGTTTCATACGACTATAATTTATAATGCATCCTAGTACTAGTGAATGAATCAGTCTTGACTGTAACGTGATAGTGGTTCTTACCTGAAAAATTTTGTAGGCATAATGAAGGTCATATTTCTGTGGTCTTGGCAATAATCTTCACTCTTTAGTGAGAGCAGCAAATTCCTTTTTCTAGTAGCTGCGACAATAACTCGACCCAAGCTGGCAAAAGGGCTCCCGTGTGGCTTGATACGATGATAGAAACCACTGCCAGCTAAAAATAGTACTAATCCAATTACATTTCCAGCAAAACAAATGCCAAACCCCCATGCCCAACTGACATTATCTTGAATGTACACAATTGCCGTGGAGCATACCGCAGTGGATATGTACATTACAAAAATGTACCAATTAAAGAAAATCCCTTGATACTTTGGTTTATCAAATTGATTTGCTCCCATTGGTCCGACAGTGAATCGGGTCCCGGCCATCCCTATAGATGCTAGAGCCAAACTGATATAAAGCACTGCAAATTGGAACTCTGATGGGCTTCTGCAGAGGTTGGATCCATTTTCGCAATGCGGAGGTCTCAATTTACTAAACGCTGCTGTCAGTGATATTAACAACATGCCCTGCAAAATCAAGAAAATGTCTTTCCAAATCAACCTTTCCAGTTTGATCATATACTAGAAACTGTAAGTCCAGAAAACAATAGATTTGGTGACCAGAGATGAGATGAGGGAAGATATCCAGACGACAGAGTAACATCCCAGATAGGAATCAGCAATGATGGCTCCAGCAACAGGGAATATGGAGACGCAGCCGTTGACCACATTGAAAATTTTAGCAGCACTGATACTCTTAACGTTGAATTCTTGAATCAGATACACAATAAGGTTGGACACAAGTCCTCCATAAGCTAGTGATATGCCCGTCACCATCGCTATCAAATCCAAATATAACCACCAAGTGTATTAAACTTGTGATCTGTACAATTAGTTAGTAGTGAACTGGTAATTAAGTGGAGTGATAAATGAAGAGGGAGGGAAGAGAGACAGGGACCTAGGATGAAAGGCAAGGTGATCCAGCCGCCTTTCTTGGGTATGCTGGAAGTTGAAGCAGACTTAGGATCTTCAGCATCACCAGAGTGCAGTATTTTGTCGATTTCCATGGTGCTGGGGAAGAGGGCTGCTCAGCTAAAATGTTGGCACTGTGTAAGCTGTAGTTCAGCAGCGGTCAATCCAGGTTGATTAATTTATATGGATAACATCCCATATAATTGCATCTCTCCCGCGTTATTATAATATATACTAAGTCACTCTACTTCAGCTGTTCTTTCCCATCAAAATGGGCAAAATGTCTTCTACTTGTGTATGGTGTTCCGGTCTGAAGCTTATCATTAAATGTAAGCAAGCCGCCTCTAGTTTAATTACTAGTACAAATCACTGAACAGTTTTTAAATGGGAATAAACAGGTACCTATATTGGTTAGCATCTGTAGCAAGGCTTAGTTTGGGAGTTCAGTGAGGAAAAAGAAGAAAACAGTGAACTTAGACCGCTTCAGTTCATTTGGGAGCGGGAAAAAGAAAAGATGATTTTGTATTCATTGAGAATTGCTGTTCTGCTCTCTACATAGCGTTTAAGCAACTGGTGCTACTATGCAGTTGTCATCGATAGCTGGATGCCATTTTTAGCTCCGCATAGGAAGCTTACCGTGGGATGGCTAATACTAGTTTTTTGTTTTTTGGGGGGTCAGGGGAGACTCAAACCTTAAGGGTGTGTTTGGTTCACGGACTGGACGAGAGGGAATTACTTATTCTCAAATTATTCATTTTGGATTGAGTCATTCTTGGATGAGTAATTCTGTTATCTAATATTTGGTTAGTTTTATATTAGATAGGATGTCTTAGAAAATAACTTCAACCTGTGTTTGACTGAAGATAGGATAAGTTGGGATTACTTATTTATAGACCAAAATACCCCCTTTGACATACTTACAATTAGAGGTATTATTCGGGATTTAGTAAGTCCAAACTTAGTTTTTAATAGTGGATAAATTAATCAAAAATTTTAGAAGGGGCAAATTAGTTAAAAATTTAATTTTATCAATAATAGGGGTAAATTAGTCTAAAATTTAATTATTTCATTGAAATGGGCAAATTAATTCAAAACATAATTCTTTTATTAGTAGGGGCAAATTGTCCAAAATTTTATTATGTTATTAATGGGGGTAAATTAGTCTAAAATTTAAATATTATTATAGCTAGGAGGTAAGTTTGTATGGTTGTTAGAATAAAGTATTATTCTATTAGTAGGAGCAAATAAGTCCAAATTATCATCATCTCACTTTTTATTATGTTATTAATGGGGGTAAATTAGTCTAAAATTTAAATATTATTATAGCTAGGAGGTAAGTTTGTATGGTTGTTAGAATAAAGTATTATTCTATTAGTAGGAGCAAATAAGTCCAAATTATCATCATCTCACTTTTTATTCATCCCGAGATAACTCATACCACCTCTTCCATGGGATTATTTTATCCCCTATATGAGGGATTAATTCGGTTACGTGGGACATATCATCCCTTATATAAAATGCAATCAAACATAGGATGATATAGAATTAGTAATCCAATCCCATGTCATCTTATGAACCAAATGAATCCTAAAGGGAAAAAGTCGAAATATTAAGGCTTGAAAGTGAAACCAAGGATTTGGGCTCTTGGCTAATGTTTTATCTGTTAATTTGTCTTTGGTCCATATGAATTTCCAAACATGAATTTTCTAAATTGATGGGTAAGTTACTTATTATCTCCTTGTAGTTTTACATAATGTCAGATGATCACGATGATCACTGATCCTCTAAAATTTTAAAATAGCCACATAATCCCCCTGTGGTTTTATGTAAAGTGGAAAGTAGATCGAATGTACAATCAATTACTACATTTATATCAGACACATTTTAAAAGTGCATGTCATAATATCTTAATATCCATGTAACCCCCTTATGGTTTGTATAAATATCTACTTTATCTCCCTATGATTTTTGTATTTATCGATATAATCTTCCTATGATTTTATACGAAATAGTTAACCCATCGATTGATTTAACATTTAAATAAGAGCACTATTAGTATTTCAATTAACGATATTACATAGACTATTTTTCGTTAAGTTTCCACTTTACATAAAACTATAAAGGGGTGAAGTGGACATTTTAAAACTTTAAGAAGGTTATGTGGCAATAGATGAAACCACAGGGGGATTATATATAATTTGTCCTAAATTGATTAATGCAATGAAAGGTGACAAACAATTTTAAATATACAAGAGCTTACGGTTATTGAAAATTGATATCTTCAACTCAATTAGTTCAATTATATTTGAACTATATGCAATTTTTTGGTTATTAAATATTAGAAATCAAAAAATGTGGAAGCAAAATTAATTTAAGGATAAATTACTTTTTGTCCTCCTGTAATTTGGTCTTTTACCATATGATCTCCCTATGGTTTAAAAATCTATACCCCTCATAATTTGAATTAAATGATCACTATTAGTTATTCCATTAAAACTAACGATCAATATTAAAAAGTCAAAGTCAAATTAATAAATTGATAAAATCACCTTTTTTTCTCCTTTTTTTTTTTTCCTTTTGGGAAGAGTGGACTTGATTTTGAAAAACTGTATGTTGGCCTACTAAATCTTAATTTTTTCCAAATACATAAAAGAGGAAAAGGTAATAAAAAATAAAATGAGAAATAGAAATTTCAAATCTTTAATGACTGTAGACACCATTATAAGTTTTTAAACCAAATTTTTAACGACCACAAATCATTAATGGTATTTTATATTCCTTGTTTATCTTTTTTTTTATTTCCCTTTCTTCTTTTTTGTATTTTAAAAAATAGTGAAATGATGAATTTGTCAATTTATTAGTTTAACTTAAACTTTCTAGTATTCTCCGTTAAACCTAACGAAGAAAAACTAACATTGACATTTTAACTCAAATCTTGAGAGGGTTTTTATATAGGTTTTTAAATTACATGAATTATGTGATAAAACGTTAAATCACGAGAGGTTTAAAAGATAATCTACCCTTAATTTAACAACGCTCGCACACTACTTGATTTATCTGACCAATTTTCTTCGACTCCAAACAAAGTTCAATTAAAACTTAACAAATCAATGAAAAAACGAAAAGCTTGTTTCAGGCTAAGGCCAAGTTGATTCAACATGGAATTGGGCAAACCTATGTTGATTTGTCTAACTATTCCTCTTCTGGCTGATTGGACTTGTAGAACCAAGTACAAACAAGATAATAAACGAAATTCACTCCACCAATCGCAACCAGCATCCAGTATACATTGTCTAGCCTTCCCTGATTAATATTATCAGGTAACCAATTTGTTACTCTCCGGAAGAGATCAATAAGGGCAGCGCTCAAGTAAAATGCCATGCCAACAAGCATTGCAGCCATGGCGGTTGAGGTGCTCTTCAAAGATGCAGGAAATTCTTGGTAAAATAATGAAGCTTGAGCTGGAAAAGATAACGCTTCAACAATGCCCACAAGAATAAGCTGTGGAATTAACCAGAAAACCGACATGGGCACCATAGGAACAGTGGAGTGCAAGTTATGAGCTTTACTTAGTCGAAGACGCGTTGATTCTACCAAAGCTGAGATGGCCATGCTTAGAATGGTCAGTACATGGCCAATTCCTATCTTTTGAAGTAGTGTGAGTGGTGGGATGCTGATTTTTTGCCATATGGGGTCGGACAACCGGTCTATCAATGGGAGTGAAATTGCTGAAAGCAGTGTGAAAACCATTATTGATGCCGGTGGGATTTTGAAGTTTGGTCCAAAGTGACGGTCCATGGTGAGAGCCGGAATTACTGTTAAGCTTGACTGAATAGCAACTGGGGTGCTTAAAAAGATACCAGTCGTCCAAAGTGGGATGATTCTTATCAAGGTTTTTAGATCCTCTACTTGTTGAACCGTACATAACTTCCATGATTTCTTGATTGATCCATCTTCTTCAGTAGCTGACTGGGTTAGGAGTGCTGCAGGATTCAGGAACCTGGAAGTTAAAATATGCAAATTAAACGATCAGATTAAAAAAACTGATTATGTTTTTGGTTTGTTTGGAATTCGTGTGATACTATTTAAAGCTGTTCTAGACCAATTATGTTTCTGGCTTTCTGGGAGTCATATAAGAATTGAGCCGGTGGTCACAAGGTTATGACTAGAGCATAGTCGTATACTTAGGATGCAATATCATCTACATTTGGGTGCTTTGATTGAGCAGCAGCTTTTGTTGAAATCGAACTCCACAGTGCTGTTTAATGGTTCACATCAGACTACAACAGTTTAATATAATCTCAACAATTTATTTTAAAATAGAAAAATTAAAATAAATTATCGAAAATGTCTCAATAACAAAATGATTTGAAGAGTTAATTTGATGATCGGCCTAACCAGTAAATATCCGACCTAGTCCGTGACTTTATTAGTTTATACTTAGCATGAAATAACTACAACAAAGCATTGCTCTAAATTCACTTACATGCGAGTGGCGATCGAACAAAATGGGACTACTGGGGAATTTGGGACATCTGCATTGAAGTCTTTAACAAGTTGGGTATATAGCATCAGGCTAAAAATTAAAATATGAAAGCCTCGCCACATTAAATTATTCATTATGAAAAGATAATTAAAGTAAGGGAAAAAAAATACGTTTTCTACGGTAAAATTCCTAATCAAGTGCCTGCTGATTCCAAACCTTAGTTCGTACCTGAAGATCAACTAAATTAATCAATTCAATGTAGGTAGGAAAGTGGGAACTATCTCTGAAATCTTCGTTTGCTTCTATATCTTTGGTTTCACGTCATCACGTGCCATGTGCATTAAGAGTTCCTTGTAATTTGGAATATCACTATAGTATTGAGCCTACTTTTGGCCCTCTTAACAGATTTTCTGAGGCTTAAGGGAGCAGTTCGGCAAATGCTAATCTTGAAGCCGATTGACCAGTCAAAGCAAAATGCTGCAATTGGAATCTCTCGCTTGGGTGACTGTTTTTGAAGTTTAATCATCCGGACAAATGATCAAATTTAAGAACTTAACTAAGTCAAAGCATTGAGAGAGAGAGAAGGAAAATCATACTTGAAGGATTCAGTAGGTGCTGCAGCCACTGGTTCTTTGCCTGCATCATCACTAGTCTCACTATAAAAATCTTGAGTTTTATCCGATAACAGGAGCTTCCTCTTGGCAATTGCTGCTAAAATTACACAAGTCAGATCTTTAAATGGACTCCCTTGTGGCTTGATATCACAGTAAAATCGCCTTCCGGCCAAGAAAATAATTAAACCAAGCACGTTGGCAGCGACACATATGCCAAACCCCCATGCCCAACTCACATCATCTCGAACATAGATAACTACCGTTGCAGCGACAATTGCAGCACTATTCCAGGCAAAAAGAAACCAATTAAAGAATTTCTCCTGATGCTTCGGGTTGTCCAATTGATATGCACCCATTGTTCCTAAGGTGAAACGAGTGCCTGCAACCCCTATTGATCCGAAAGCCATAGCCAAAATTAAAATTGCATGCTGAAATTGAGATGGAGAATCGCAAAAGCCTGAGCCGTTGCATGGTTTGGGTCTCAAAATACCGAGAGAGGCGGTTAAAGTGAATAGGAGAACTCCCTGTGATGCCGATGAAACATTTGGCTTAAAGAACCAATGATTAAGTAATTATTAATTGTCTTGCAACATTTGGCTAGTAAAGATAAATTTTGTCTAGATATGAAGTAACTCGACTTGGGCATGGACAAAGGGTCCAATCAACTCCATTAATATCCCCAAGGGTTTGGATATGCCAAAATTGATTATCATCCAGTTTGGTACCAGCTTTCACTTGTTTCTTTTATAATTTCTTTTCCCCGTTCTTGATAAATTACCTTCTACTTGTTTCATGGTGGAAAGTGAATAAAGGATTAAGCATTATTACCAGCAAATTGACGATTGAAGAAATCCATATGACGGAGAAGCAGCCTGTGAAAGAATCAGCAATTACAGCTCCAAGGATAGGAAATAGTGCCATGCAACCACTGATGACATTAAAGCTTTTTGCAGCATCGATAATCTTGAAGTTAAACTCAGTGATCAGGTAAAGAATAATGTTGTTTACCCATCCAGATGCTTATAGGGTCAAGCAAGCCATGGTTGCTGAGATTTTTACCAAAAAGATTAACATGTTCAACTTAGTTAGTTCTGTCAATCTCTCGAGATTGAGATAATCATCAAACGGAAAGGATCCAAACAAAAAATGATCAAGGAAATTAGTGGAATGCGATGTGTACTAGATAAAGCAGCAAACATTTAAAGAAACTCTCGAGTGCATATGACAAACAAAATAATTTGCTGCGAGACTAATGGGATATACCTGTGATAAAGGGAAAAGTGACCCAACCGCCTTTTTTTTTTGGTGGGATTGGAAAGTTGAGCTGCTTGGTTCTTCTGTGTCCATGGATGCAGGAATTAACTGTTAATATGATGCAGGTGCCTAGCTAAAAGTTTGTCCCATTACTCCTAATGGCAGATTGTCATTAAATAGAAAGGTGGATTAGTTGTTTATTCGCAGAGGAAGTGGGAAGATAATACTTGTTTTTATTCACGGTTCCCCACCCCCCAACTTGCAATTGTTTAATTTAACGACTCAGAAATTATGTCTATAATACCATGGAAATATACGACACTTCAGGATTTAATCCAGTCGGTCAATACCAAATGCAGATTCGTTTGATCGGTCTATAGATGCCCCAACCAAACTAAACAAAATAAATCAACAAGTTACCCAATGCTCAAACTCAAATTCCGAGAATCGTGAATATAATATATGAAGCCGTGATTTTTTTTATTATTTGGTGTGACAAGCCTGATGAGATTTTTTCTTTTTTTGCCTATTATCTCGAAAACCTTTCTGATTGGAAAGGGGAGGCTAATTGGTCCGAAAATTTCTACACAGAATGCTATTGAGTTGCTCAAGCCTGTAGATTTTAGGCTCTATTTGTTTGACAAGAAAATCGTGTAAGAAAATGTGCCGTGAGAAAAGTAAAGTGAAATGAAGTAAAGGAAAAGGACACTAACTTTCCCATATGTATTTGGTTAATAAGAAAACGATTCAAGAAAATACAAATTCTTGTGTTTTTTGAGCCTAAAAGTCACAGAAAAATTGACTAGTGTTTTGTTAATAGAAAATATTCAATATTGAACTTCTCCATTTTTGGTAGTTAATATATGTAAAATCATGTAATAATTATAACATTTTGCATATTGGAAGACTTTAAGGAATTAACTAAGAGAGGCTGCAAGGGAAATTAAATGAAAGGTTTCGAAAGTCCCCGTCCTAACGGTTTTTAGGCTGTTTCTTTTATAAGAAAGATTGGCATTTTAGGGACTAGAATTCATAAGCTTGTTGATGAGATTAAATCTGAAGGAGAGTGGTTTCGCCTTTTGAATCAAGTTTGCTTCTCTTTAGTTCCTGAAGTTGAAGTCCCCTGAAAATGTCACCCAATGCCTAATGTAACGTGCTTCATAGACTAACCACTAAAGTTATTATTAATAGGATTAAGCCTCTGCTCTCTTCCATTATTGGACCTGTCCAAAGTAGCTTTCTTCCTGAAAGAAACACTAACGATAGCATTGCGTTACTCAGGAACTTTAGCATAGGAGTATTAGAAAATGAAACATATGAAGATTTATTCACAAAAGGCTTATGATCAGTTTAACTTTAATTGGTCTTGGCTTAAGCACTGTTCGTTTGATCCAATTTGGTTTTCCTTCTGCTTTTTGCTGATGTTGTCATGAAATGTATCACATCCACTTTATTAGCTGCGCTTTAAAATGGGGAAGTAAATAAATACTTGAACCTAAAAGGGGATATACTCTCTTTCTGCCTTTATTTTTTTTTTTTTTGGGTAAATAATTCTGATTTTTGGACTTGGGGAGGGATTGTTAACAGCTTTAATAAAGTGAAACTTGGTTTTGAGTGGAAAGTCGATAAATGTCATAGAATTTCATTGTGGTTTGATCCTTGGATGGGTAATCGAACACTTGCTTGATTTGGCTGGTTATAATATTGTTCTGCGTAAAATTAACTGGATTGTCAAGGATATCATATCTGACTATAGAAGATGGCTTTTGGATACAATTAGGGCAACCCCTTTTGAATGTGTAAACTGTAAAGAGGCTGGGGATAAATTTGATTGCGCGCATTCTACTGATAATACACGACGAATTCTTAGTTTTTTTTTTCTATATGACAAAATTGGATGATTTGCTGATAATTCTTTTCCTAGGAAAAAAGATTTGGAAACTACCATGTCTGTAACCCCAAAGGCTGGATATATTTTAGGGTCTGTTTGGTTGGAAGTAAAATGTTTTTCTTGGGAAAATATTTTCCGTGGAAGTAATTTTCTATGAAAATCATTTCCCTTTCATTATTTTCAGGTGTTTGGTTAGCTTATTGAAAATATTTTCTTACTTCATTTTTCTGGTGTTTGTTTAACTTTTGAAATATTTTCACTTTTATCTCTATCCTTACTTTCTACACATTATAACTACATACTTCTTCCCATGCAAAATAAGAAAATTTATCTCATTGTTTAACTTTAAAAAATCTTGGAGAAATATATATATGAATAAAAAATATCTCCTTAAGCAATAAACAAATTGCTGGCCATTTAGTGTCAAATATCAATCACATGCAATGCTTATTGTGACATATATCTTGCACTCTCACTGCTGAAAGTTTCTCTAGAAAAGAATGTCCCTATTTTACATAATTAATTACTAGTATAGGATGAGCAGGATGAGGTTTTTTTTTTTATTTTGAATATACTAAGGGGAGGGTTGGGTGGTACGGGAGAGGGAGTGTAAGAAAGAGATCTTGGGTTCGAATCCTCCTGTTTACACTAAAAAAAAAAAAGAACATATTACAAGATGTTTTCAGTAAGTTTGGAACATACTACAGGCGGAATGCATGCATTTCGGAAAACAACTTCAGTAAGTTTGGAAGGGAAGTTGTTTTTCATAAGATGAGTGAAAATATTTTACATAGGAAAATGTTTTCAGTAACTTTTGTGCAACCAAACACCGGAAATTAGAAAAATATTTTCCTGAAAAACATTTTCACCCGAAACAAACGGAACCTTAGTGGGTTTGTTTTTCCATGAGAATGTTTTGGCAAATTCTCATAAGAAGGTTATGTACGCACAAACAATTGCTAGAGAGAATGGAGCTTTAACTGTTTTACTTCCGGTTAACTTTCTTGTTATGTTTCCTTCAATTGGTTGTTCTCGTTGAAACGCGCGGGCATATTCCTTTCCTTCTTCCTTCCGGGGACTTTAATCCAAGCTCGAGTACGGTCTGTGCGTTATTTTTGTTATGAATCAATTGATTTAAAAAAAAAAAAATCGTTCAAAACATATCTCTCATTTTATCAAATGAAATTTTTGTTCTTCACTTTTAAAATGTTAACTTTATATCCCTTATAAATTCAAGTTAACAAAACTTTATTCCAACATAAGTTTTCAATCACATTTTAGTTTCAAATCACCATGTGATCACATGCAGTCGTTTTTAATGCGCAAAAAGGTTAGATTCCGTTTTTTCAGTGGCAAAAATGAATTCCATTTTTTTAAGAGAAAAAATGCATATAGTTCGAGTCAAATCCTATTTTTTTAGAGGAAAAAATGAATATAAATTAGGTCCTTTGTTTAAATACAAATGAGATCTAACTTTTTTGCTTCTTAAAAAATGATCATATGATTGATTTAGGAAAACATGGTTGAAAATTTAGATTGGGATCAAATTTTATCGATTTCATTTTGTAAAGGGAGTAAAATTATTATTTTAAGAGTAAATGACGAAAAAATTTATTTCGTGAAATATGAGGGATGTTTTGAATAATTTTTCCTTGATTTAATGGAAGCATTACTATTTCCTTTGTCCTTTCTCGATTCTTACCTTATCACTAGAGGTTACCCCCTATTCATGGCACCCCTCTCTCTCTCTCTCTCTCTCTCTCTCTCTCTCTCTCTCTCTCTCTCTCTCTCTCCAACATTATAACAATCGATCCTATATTGGGGAAAAGGGAAAGAGAATGAACCTATCTAATCTATTGAGAAATTCGAAAGGAACTAAATAACTTTCTGTCATATTTCAGAAAATTCTGGAGAAAAAACGCAATCAGGAGTTCGACCCCTAACCTGTGCTTAGGGAGGAACTTGGTCAACTAAGCTAGCTCAATTGTTTATGGCACCTCTTGTTTCATTCATAGAGAAATCCAATCAGCAAAGTCAATGAAAAGTTCATTATAGACCAAGATCCCCTTTTTTTTTCTCCTTTAAACTCGAGTTTCCATAGGAAATGCGTTTAAAAAACTTAGTATCTATTAGAATGTGAGAACCAAAATAAATATCTATTGAATATTGCCAGAATTAATGCAATCAACCTCCAATACTTAACAGAAAGAA